AGCTGCCTTTAGAGTCAGACATCAGTGAGGCAGACAACGCTGGAGCCTGATCCCAGGATGCGCATGCATAGAGTTGCCAGATGAAGGGAACAGCTAAAGAACAGGGGTCGACTTGGGAGTAAAGCCACAGGTGAATGGCCCCTCCCAGAGGGAATAAAAGAGGAGCGAAAGGGGAGTGGAGTTTGCAGGAGACAATTAGTTCACTTAATTCGTTCGTGACTCTCCGAGACTCCTGCCCAATTTTTGCAGATATCAGCCTGGCAGCTCTCTAAGCCAGATAAGGTCTGTGACTGTAAATCCTCCCTGGAAAGGCTTTGCTGGATGTGGATGAGCTGAATTCACAGCAAATTAATAAAAGGGTTTTTTGTCAGGACAAAAAGTTTGCTTCATGCTCTCGGGAAACCTCTGTCAGAACATTAAGCCTATGGGTGGCCTTACTAAAAGTATGGTAAATATTAACCAGATTAATTTTTTGCCCCCCCAAATAACGCTGTGTATAGATATTTAAAACCTTAGGCCAAGGTGGGAGCCAAATCCCAGGTGACATGAAGGAAAGTGGAAATGATATTGCAATCCTCCAGCAGTTATGTTCTCTGGCTCTTCAGAATTAAAAATAATCTGGGGTATATATTTAGAAAACACGGAAGAAGCCGTTTCTTCTTCTTATCCCACAACTTAATAAGATTGGAGAGTGGTTGCTACCAGATGCTGCTCCGTGTTATTTCAAAAATCCTTTTTGAACTCGTCTTTTAAGAAGTTTAACATGTTTTACATCTGCTCGTCTCAGATTTTCTGCCTCTTTGGCAACACGAGGACCAACCCGGGTTCGGAGGGCATTACCATTCACACACAACTGCTTCAGTTTGAGAAAGGCCGTCTGGATTTCTTGAATATTCGGCAGGCATTTCTCCAAGTCAGATTTGTAAACGTCGCTCCTCTGAGGATGGCTTCTGGTGACGGCGTTGCAAATCCTACGAGGAAAAGGAATCGTAGCAAGGACATCTTTAGAAGCGTCTCGTGACAGCTTCACCCCACAGCTGGCCCCCAAAGCCCCTTCTCAGCCCGGAGTACAGCTGCAAGCTCGCCCTCCCTCCCCCAAGCTGCATCCTGTGGTTGGGCACACCCAACCGCAGGCTCAAAAAATACCCCGCTAGGAAGCACCAGATGGGCACAGAAAGGGGCGGGTGGGTTAAGAGAAGTGACCCCCATCACACCGTACTTCAGAACCCAGAGTCAACTCTCTAGTCTTTCTGTGAAGACTTGACAATGTGAAACAGGGTTAAATGAATTATGAGGATATCCCTTAAACTCAATAAATCAGTTCTCCTCAATTTGATGCTCTAAAATCCATCCATCCATCCATCCATCCATCCATCCATATATCTGCAATTTTCACCACTGGTTATCTGGAGGGAGATGGTGGCTTTAAGAGGAGCCCATCACACAGGATGATAGGGCTGGAAAGGACCTTGGAAGCCCAACTCCTGCCTTAAACCATCTTGGTCAATGGTTGACCTCGCTTTTATTTTGTCTCTCTGCTTTCATCATCTTGGGAAGAAAGTTAGATTGAAAACATGATAAGTGAAAGCCAGCCACCGCAATCCTTACCGTTGGTCTATTTTTCGTTGCTGCAGGCTGTCCTTGATGTGGGCCATCCTCACCAGAGCGTTCCCGTTGGAATGGTTCCAACACCACATCTAGGAAACCAAGGTAGAGGGGGTTAAGTCCCAGGTATCCCAACGGCATCTTATGAATCCGTCTTGGTTTTCAAGGGATTGTAACAGATGGAAGACTCAGAAAGCGCCTCTGAGCTGCTGAAAGTGGGTTTTTCAGAGGCTTAATAATAGGGCAAAGAGTAGGGGACCTGGAATGATTTTTGGGAGGGCTCTTGACCCTCTTGGCTACTGTTTTATTTTGTCTGTCTGTCTGTCTGTCTATCTATCCCAACACACCTTCATTCTTTTGGTGTTTTTTTTTGAATTTTTATTTTAAACACATAAACACATCAACAAAAACAAACACATGACTTAAAACAACATAGGAACAAGAAGTTCCATCATATAGCAATAGCAGTTAGACTTATATAGCATTGGCTGAGCCGAAATGGGTGGCCCCATGGGTGTGTTTGTAAAGTGTTGGTGTGTTGCATTGTGAAGTTGGGGGAAGAAAGATAGCAATAGCAATAGCAGTTAGATGTATATACCGCTTCACAGGGCTTTCAGCCCTCTCTAAGCGGTTTACAGAGTCAGCATATTGCCCCCAACAACAATCCGGGTCCTCATTTCACCCAC